TAAAAATTAATCTGGGAAAGGACTATGACAAGGTTGGGGATCATCAGGGGATAATCATTTCATTTCCACTTTAATTCTCACTCAAAAAGACAGGAAATCCATGAATCAATAGTAATTTAGAACTGGGAAAGAAACAATTTGAAAGAGTTGTGACCATGATTTATTAGTATTTTTTTTAATTTACATGTTTACAAAGGAAATACTGCAGCAAACAACACAGAAACCTGTTCAAACGGTCTGCCTGAACAAAGCAGTGAATATTTCACAGATAATTGTTCAATTGAAGATCACAGTTATSCTACTATGGGTGAACAAATAGATGCCAACAGTGATGTTGAAATGGATGAGTTACCAGATGATCTTGTGAAAAGATATTTCCTCATAATAAGAGTAGAAAACAGTCTGACAACAACATGTACCAAAAGAATAGTGAAAACAACAGCTCAACTAATTAATACTGTTGTTTCCAATATGAAGAGAAAAATAGTCCAAAGTCTAGAGGAGAACAATGTTATGTTAGCTGACCTTCCCACTTTGGAGGACTCAATTGAAGATACTCARATGTTTCTTSAAAACATGATCAGCCAAAGCATTCTTGGTGATACATATGAGATTGGAGAAGAACATGTGGTATGGTCTAAGATTTTGTATGAGACATTGAATTTGTCAAAAAAGTATCMCATTGTCTGGGATCCTGATCTCAAGACTGTATTGCTTGATCCCACATCCCAAGTGTCAAAGCTTTTTTTATTTTTTATTTTTGTTTTCTTATTGCTCAAATCAGAATATTGTAACAATTTCTATTGAMCACAAAAGTTAAGACATTTTGAATACAATATCATTTATTCATTAATTGAGTATACTCTTTGTCTAGAGCATGCAAAAAAWWGTACTTGGAATGAGAAAACTTCTACGCAAACGCAATGGAAAAAAKAGATTAGTTGATGCAGAAGATGCTTTCTACTAWATACCACTTCTCGAAACATTACAGGCACAACTTCAATCACCCATCCTCCTGGATTTTATTTTGGCTGGACCAGAAGTTTCAAAAGACAGAGATTCCTTGAAAGACTTTTGTGATGGAACATTCATGAAAAATCATCCACTATTTGGGACTGATAAGAGAGCATTAAAAATAATTCTCTACTATGATGATGTAAACGTCTGTAACCCTCTCTCCAATAAGATGCATAAGATCAGTGCATTTTATTTTCAACTRGCTAACCTTCCAACAAAGTACAGATCTAAGCTGAATTCAATAAATCTTCTGGCACTTTGCACTTCTATTAATATAAAACGATATGGTATAGACAGAGTGTTCGAGCCTGTAGTGGAAGAACTAAAGAAGATTGGTGATGATGCAGGATACCCATTTAAACTATATCAAGGTACTCTGAGACTTCGAGGTGGTCTTTTAGCTGTGGTAGCAGATACACCAGCCAGCCAGGATGCTGGGGGCTTTAAGTCAGGAGTAGGTGGTGCATTCAGAAAATGTAGACACTGTATGGCCACATATAATTCTATGCAAGAACATTTTTCTGAGGATAATTKTACCTTGCGTTGTTCGACAGACCATGAAAAGTGGTTTAAGAAYATGGAGAATTCTCCATCAACTWTTTTAGAAACATTCTATTCTAAAAAAGCTGGAATTACCAGACGAACTAAGCTTCTTGATGCTCCAGACTTTGATGTCTGCCAGCAGCTACCTCTAGATTTAATGCACATTTTCTTAGAAGGAGTGCTTGGATATGAAATCAAATACATGTTAAGATATTATATACAACAACAACAACAGTTTTCACTTGGTGATTTAAATAACAGAATACAGAATTTTCCATTAGGTTATGCACATAAAAAAACAAAYCAGCTCCAATATTTGAAAGAGATTTGGAACGTGAGAGCAGTTCAAATCTTGGTCAAAGTGCCAGTGAAATGTGGCTACTTTCAAGAATTCTTCCTTTTATTTTGCATGAGTATGTTGACAATTTCTTTTTCGCAGTCAGTCACTTACACTGAAATTATATATTTAAAACAGTTGGTAAGGGATCATCTTTCATTATTCAAGAGACTATATGGTTCCCCAATCATCCCAAAACAACATTACATGGTGCATATTCCATCTCTAACACTTAAGTTTGGACCTCTTATTCGAAGCTGGACAATGCGATTTGAGAGTAAGCA